CTAACCCCACGAACACACGGCACTGATGAAGAAATATTGTGAAACGGACAAAAAATTAGTATTCAGTCAGTCCAGCTAGCCGAGCCTTTTTTCCTCAACTACGTTTGATAGCACGTTTACTAACTATCTGGCGACTAGGGGCCACAGGCAAGAAATGTTTATGACTGTATCTTATTTTTTTTGCCGTTCCAATTGGGAATGGATAGACTATATCAATAGAGATGTTTTGAGTCCCTAAAACATTCAATGTTTATTTATTAATGAATCCCATTTAATTGGTTGTATGCATTTCCCACAGAAAATTTATAGTCAATTCACAAAAATACACTTCCCTGGAACATTAAGTTGTCTATAATAAACTCTATCAACAAACTGTGTTTACTTTGTGTGAATGGTTGAATAGCGTATGTTCTTAATTTAGTGAACCATTAATACGTCACTTCATCTAGAGTTAATTTTAATTTACATATTGTATCAATTTTATACTGATTAGCTCATATATTTTGCTATTTTTGTTTCGAATTATGTTCAAATTCACATAACTATATACATCGAACAAACGAAGTAACCCAAACAAAGATAGATGCGTGATCAAAGCATGATTACCACGCATATTTGCATCTATTGGGAGAATAAACATGCCTCCTTACGCTGGCACATTTAACTGCAATCGGCTGGCGGAATTCATGATACAGTGACGGAGTGGTCAGTTACGTTTTAAAGCCGTATACATATACGGTACTTTGAAGTTCAAAAAGTTTTAAAAAAATGCCGAGTACTGATACCGCTGAAACAACTACTAATTTGTGTCCGTGCACTCCACCTAAAAAAAGTCATGTACCCAGCCGCATATTATTAAAAAAATCGACTGTGTTTTAGACCTTATGACTGAAGTAAGTAAAAGTAAATAGTTGTCATCATTTTGACGAATCATCAAACGATATGCGTAATTATTCATCGAGCTAACCTTCTTGGTAGTTTCCTCGACAGCTGGTCGTGCTATCATCCTCAAGGCTCTACTCAAACTGCCTTGAGCCTTGAACATAGCACGACCAGCTGTCGAAAGCGCTCGCATATAATAAATAGAAGTTATAAAGCTTCAAATCCTTCTTGTGACATATCATAAAATTAAAATACTGAAAATAAAGGACATTTCTATATAATCGAAAAAGGTTAAGCAGTCAAGCTGCTGAAGGTAGGAACTAACGGGACTTTCAGTCAAACACGTTCAAGAAACAAACTTACTCTATTTCACAAATCGCCAAGCATTCGTCTCTGAATAGAGACTTCGTCAGGACGCTTAAATGAAATACAATAGAAAAGAACTAAAAATGGACAATATTTACGAGTAATCTGAGTTTTACAATTGAATATTGATAAAAAAATTTCACAAAATTGTCACATTCATGTTGATAATGGCATAATTTTCAGATATCTGATATAAGTAATGTAATTTTCAAAGCTTACTATAATGACAAGAGTGACATCATCACTGAAAAGGTTTCTATTTCATATTAAGTTGTTCACAATTAAAAGAATATCAAAATTTCTAAAAAGAATATTAA